GAATTCTGATTTGGAAACCTGATACCTGTAACATGATACTCTTCAATGCCTTCAGGTAACAGATCCCAAAGGCATTTGACTCTGAACAACAAATCAAAATAGGTACTGTGTCATGAATAATAATATTTATTCTACAAAGGCATTCATCTAATACTCTGGCATATACACAGAAGTAAACCATAAAGTGTTAATATTTAAGCATACAGAACTTACTGTAGAATTTGCCAGTGTATTTAAAAACAAAAAAGAAATAAAACAGTCACGAAAGTCCCTTTGCCATGCTATTTTGATATGATTCACACTCCATCCCTCCATGTGGGATATCACTGTTATAATCAGTACTAGCTTCCTAATGTGCTTAGGAGTGTCAGGGGCCATGTCATCCATGTAGGGTTAATTAGACTTCGAGCTCTTCAAGGTCATTATTTTTTCATTCTTCAGTATGTCTTTTGGATATTTTCAGTTGCTATCTGGATTTTTTGAACTAAGAAAATTCAATTGAAATCAAGATTAATTTGTCAGCTCCCTCCAGGACAGAGTTGAAAATAAATTATGTACACATACATATAAAAAGAATTGAGGGCAATGTCGTGGGGCACAATGGCCCACGCCTATAATCCCAGCACTGTGAGAGGCCAAGGTAAGAGGACCGCTTGAGCCCAGGAGTTCACGACCACTGTGGTTTTCTTGCCAGAGGGAATATGTCAAACATCATTATTATGTATTCTAAAATTTATGTTTAAAAGCTACTGCTGCAATCAATATATTTTTCTCTGTCATTGTGTGGTCATTTGAATCTCTTCATATTTAGGGACTTGTGAGCTATATAGCAAGAAGAGACTTGCTAGAGAATCCCTCATTTCCCTACTCAACATTTCCCCATTTTCCCCCTTCCAGATTATCTGGACACTGACATGGAGATATAATTTATGACTATGTTTTTCTCCTAAGCAAAGCAATTTCCATATCATAAGTCTAGATCAGGTTTCTAGAATCCAGTCGGTAGAAGGATAGGATGACATTTGGATTCTTGTTCTTTACTCTTTGAACTGGCCCTTCTCTTGTGCATTACCAGAGGAGAAAAGATATTATCAGAAGTGGGCAGCAAGTGGAGCTAAAGGATTTGCACCACGTGGCCCTTGCCTTGCCATGTTGACTAGAGCCACTCCTCCTCCAGAGTGGCTCTGTCCAGTCCAGTTTCAAGAGTAGAGGTCTTTGTGCTTTGGATTTGGAGACTTCTCCTGCTAAGGGTGGCCCAATGCAGAAACTCCTTTGGCATAATGTTCTTGAACAGGACTTATGAATCTGCCTCTGGACCTAGATAGCAGTTTCAAGCCTTGGTCCAAATTGAGATGTTTGCAGATTTAATGCCTTTGCCTGCCAGTGGAATACGTGGTACCTTATACATAAGTGCTCAAAATATTAATGTGTGTCTGTATGGAATACTATGAAGCTCCTCTTCCCCTGTGAGGCAGTTTTTTTTCTCAGTCCACTTTGGTTCCTTCTGCCTTCCCAACTCTCCCCAAAACTCTCTTATAAGAAAGAACTGGAAATTCATTTCTAAAATAAAAATAACTAATATTGACTTAGCACGTTTCCTCTCTCAGGGAGAATTCATTATAAATGAAGGCCTTAGATAAAATGTTTACAGTATTCCATCATCTAATGACAAGCTTTAATAAGCAAGAAAGGAGAGATTTCTTTTAAGGGAAGGGTTGGGAGATAAGAAAGTGACCTGCCAGGCAGAGAGGAGCCACTGCTACTGAAAAATATCTCTCCTTGGGTCCACTGTTTGCACAAATGACTATTTTTTTCTCTCGTTGTTTAGCAAGCCAGCATTTCACCAAAGATCTGCAATCTAGGTATCCTACCAACAGACCCGAAATGTCATCATACTTCAGGAGTGTTTCTAGTATTTTAAAATTAAAGTTAGTGGAGTTTATTAAAGAACGAGAGAACCTTCCCCAGGATTTCATGCAGATAAAAGGTAAAACTTCACGTCATCCAACACAAATATAAAACATGGTCTTTCAGGGAGCTCTGAAATATAATACAGCAATTAAATAAGAAAAATCTATTGTAAAATTGTAAATAACAAAAACTCCTTTTTCTCTTAGCAGACGTAATAAACCCAGACTGGTTTCAATAGTATAAAAAGAGCAAGTCACCAAGTTATTTACTTAGAAATCATGTGACCTCTTGGTCTTGTTTGGGTCTTGTAGCATCCAGTAAAATAAATAAGTACACCTCAGAGATGAATTAATGCAAGCTGATAGCTTTACTTGCCTCTAGATCTCAACATGAAATATGCCTCTATTTTGAATTAATTGAATACTTCTTCTCTTTGTATATACAGAATATTCAAACAATCCTTTTACCAAAAACAGAGAAGTATACACATGCTATCTCATGTATTTTTAATAATTCTAGATGACTTGTTTCATACTACATTTATACTACAATCAATGAAGAAGGAATGATTTTATTTTAGAATTTTTTTTTTCTTTTTGAGATAGAGTCTCACTGTCACCCTGGGTTAAGTGCTAAGGCATCACAGCTCACAGCAACCTCAAACTCTTAGGTTCAAGTGATCTTCTTGCCTCAGCCTCCCAAGTAGGTAGGACTAAGGCGCCCATAAGCCTCAGCTAGTTTTTCTATTTTTAGAGGAGACAGGGTCTCACTCTTGCTCAGGCTGGTATCCAACTTCTGAGCTCAAGCAATCCACTTGCCTCCGCCTCTGAGTGCTAGGATTATAGACGTGAGCCACCATGCCTGGCCTACTTTGGAATTTTTCAAAACAATTCTTTATTTATAGGTCACAGAGACATGTTAACACTGTTGGAGTTAACCTTTACAGAGCTAGTACATTGAAGATGTTTTGGGTTGAATAGTTTGGTGCTGCATAGATGTTAGTCTGAATACTTGATTCGACCTTGCCTTCTCTGATTTTATTATTCCTCAGAACAACGCACCATCGTAAGTGTTGCTTTTGAGCAGCTTAAAGTTATAAAACAGAACTGAGCTTATCAGTTTCTACATTGGCTTTTGAACATTACTATGCTTCTTCATCTTTAAAAATAATTTTCTCTCACACCTATCCCTATATGAAAACTACAACTGTATTCACAAGAGAGTGAAATCATTTCTTGAAAATCTATTTCAGAAGCTGATAATATGTTAAAGAGCCCAGCGATTAATGATACAGTAAAAGGAATTCCCTTTCTGCCAGGGAATAACCATCCCCTTTCCAAATATCTTTCTTTGGGCTGAAATTTTCCAATCTGAGCTTTCTTAAATCCTGGCCCTTTCATGTTATTTGTAAAGAACTTCTTCACTTTGTAAAGTAAAGTAAATTTTAAATTTATCTTTCTTGGCGAACTCTCCTGAAATGACTGACTTCTAAACCCACCACCCACTTCCAGGAATCCACTCTGTTTTTCCCATTTCCATCTCTTTCTTCAGCCACACGTGCATTTGCACTCATAAACATTTGCTCAGCAGCAAGAGACCTGTGGGTTCTCTTTGCCCTCTCTTTCTCTCTCTCTCCCCCCTCGCTCGCTCTCTCCCCTATGAGTCAGTACAATTTCGGTAGACTCACAATACAGAGTTCAGAACCTGTCGCCCACACCTTACAGTAAGTGAAAGGAACCAGAAGACAGCTTTCTCCTCTTGGAAATGCCAAGTGTTCAGCATGTCCCCACTGGGGGTTGAATAGAAATGTGACCTTACCGAAGTAAGTCCTTGGGTCTGAGCAAAGCTTTGAACATTTGGAGGCCAAAGCTGACTTTCCTACAATGGTATCTGGTTGGATTTTAGCCTCCTCTCTCATGAGGCTTAATGATCTGCAGCACTAGCTAGGGTCTGATTTGTCCCGATTTGGTGTAAGAGCTCAGAAGACAAACAGCAGAGACTGTTCAGGCTTGTCTTCAGAGCAGTGTGTGGTGGAGGAGAGCTTCTGAAATGTAGCTTGTCTTATCTTAACAATCTGACTGGCTGCATATTATACCAGACACCATATGAAAAGCTAATTCAGCAAAGGGTTAAAGAACATTGTGGAAAACCCACAATAGGGGTTGCATTTGGCCGTCACGGTGCCCTTCATGAACGGATCTCCACGTATTGTGACCAAAAGTCATTACTGAGGTTTGGTAGAGAGGACATCAAAGCAGAATAACCTGAGGTTCCCTAACCAAAGTTTCTTTTGGTTGTTGGTATGATTTTGTTACATTTGGACAGAGAGGAATACATTTAGGCACGCTGCCGAGATTTGTGATGGAGATTTGACCAAGCAACTAGAGGCAAGGAGACAAAGAACAGCCAGGGGAGAGGAGAGAAGTGAAATCAAACATGCCCTCTGTATTTCACTCCAGAAAATAGCTCACACTTAAAATTACCCACCTTGTTTTGCAGCTTAGAATAAAAGTGGCGTGGCACCAAATCCTACTGAAGCTGCCTTCATGATTAGAAAGTAACTCCACGCCTTGGAGACATGAGAATCATTTTAAATGCAAATTAAATTGAGGGGGTAGTGGAGAAGAACACACAAAAGACAGTAAAACAAAACCTTTCGATTTTCCTAAATTAGCAGCCTAATGTGTTCTAAAGAGCAGTTCCACTCAGATCTCTTCTGAGGGGTTGCATTTCATCACAGTATAAAATGGGCAAATCCATCACTTCCCTCTGCTCAGTGCTTTTGAATCAAGATTGAAGGGAAAATTAGAAGCTGTTCATTTGGGCTCGCAGGCTCGGAAGCATTGCACGGCTTTGTTCCAGGGTCTACGGTGTCCTGTTGAAAGGGGTCAACAAGTGCCGGTGAGTGTCTGCTAACTTCAAGACTCTTTCTTTCAGGTATCTTCTTGGCTAGTGTTCCTTTTATAGAGGCGGGGGGAGTCTCAAAAAAAAAAAATCTATGCTATACTGCATCTTTCAAAATCTGGGAAATTTCAGACAGCTTTTTAAGCTTCTTCCAGTGACTGACTCGCAGAAGGGAAGAGTTATTTTCAGCCTAGATGCCGGTGACTGTTCTGCGTATTAATTATAACAAGGACTGGCTAACATATGCTCGCTAAAATGGCCCTTCCCTGAACTCCCCCCAGCCCCTGCCACCCTCAGGCCAGCATTAAGGTAAGAACTGCCGTCCTCCAATAATTTCTAGACAACTTTCCCATTGCATTAATCTTGTTGTCATTTAACATTCTATTCTGTTGTAACTGCAAATCAAACTGAGATTTGAGGTTAGAAAATATATTTATTAAGTCATACATCCATTTTTTTTAATGGCTAGAATACTTTTCTGCTGAAAAGATGGGAATGCAGAGAATGTCCCCGCATGGTGGTTACATGTAGATTTTGATGGTTTTCTGCCAAAGTTTTACCCAGGAAACTGGTAATTTTCTTCCTTCACAGGGGAGGGTGCAAAGAGAGGCTGAGGCTGGCGTCACCTTCTGTTGCTAAGGTAACGTGCTCTGGCCATTTTATCTGAAAAAGGAAGTCGAGTGGACGGTATGCATTATTCATCGCTGTTCTAATCAAACAATCAAAATTGTTTACTTTCCCTGGGAGTGTTTAGCGAGATCAAAGACACTCGGGCTGAAACTGCTCTTGCTTTTCTGTCGACAGGTAGCCCTTGGGTTTTTTTGCAGTAAGTATAATCGGCTCGTGGGGTACCTTTGGGTATTTTTAAAACTTTGCTCTTACCGGACTTGGTTTCTTAAATTAAAATGTGTACTGTTAGAAAGAGAAACCAAATGGATTAGCCATCTGAGCCTGATTTTAGTGACTTTGTCTTGTTAATTCTTTCCAAAAAATATCCTGCAGAAATAGAGATACTTTATTTGCGCAAGTATCAGGGAAAGGCTACCTAGGCTTGGGAACAGAACCCAACAGGCTGATGAAGTGTGTTAGCTTCGTGACAGGCTAGGGTATCATAATGTTATAGGGATCGTCGCAAGGCTGCAGTCATTGTGGCAGCTCTACAAACTCTAATTCTTTCTCAAAAGCAGCCTGTGCCGGGTGCAGGCAAGTGACAATCCTGTAGCACTTTATAAATGTCTGAAGAGAATTGCTAAAAAGGAAGGAATTCAAAGCATTTCTACAGCAAATATGTCAGTGTGGGTCATAAACGCAAAGGATCTATAAGTGGAGGCTCAGATTCCCAGGCGATTTTCCCTGCTCCAGGGGATTCCGAATGTCCCCGAATCAATTGAGGATCAACACTCAGCGGCGGCTGATGTTTAATGATGCCATTCATCAGACAGACCTTTTGAAAACTGAGAGCGTGTGAATTTAACAGCATATTTTCCAGTTAATAGAGAGCAAGGGAAGTCTGGTATGTTATCTCTTTAGCCTGGATCATCGGGGTTTTTTATGAGTAGGATATATTACTTTGTCTAAATGTTGTTTTTCGTAGGCAATAGGAATGCTATGTTGGGGGGGGG